TGATTTACAACGATAGCACTGGAAGCATTTCAGACTTTATTTGAACTACTTCAGTGTTATCCTTTAGTTAAGTAATTGCAAAGAACACATTTTTTACAGTAACATTTTTTCGGTGAAAACACAATCATATACACATACATACATACATACGCAATAGGTACTGAACGTAACGAACAAATTTTTTAAAAATAGAAAAATTGACAGATTGACAGAAAAATTGATAAATTGAAAAAATGAAACGAATTGCAGATTTTGTATAGGTGATAAGTACTATTTGTGCGATAATAAAATTCTCTGTCAATATGATTACGAAGAGAGGATGACGTTTCTGCAGGCTGCGTATAACAATCAAAGTTTCACACAAATCACTAAAAATTTACAACAATTGGACGACTTTGAATCGGTGGCTAGTTTTTTCTTTAAATTTAGGTTTTGCTGATTTCAATTTTCGCTTTTCTTTAACAAATAAATTTCCTTTAATTTCCAGTAGGTTTCGCTTTCATTTGCACATGTAGTTTCATTGCTTTTAAACTAATGAATGTTATTGGTTGATAGGCCGAAGCTGGACTGGTCAGTATTTGATGTGAATTGAAGCAGTGCAATGTGATAACTGTTCTAAAGAATGATAACAATACAAGTGATTTTCATTTAGAAATATTCAAGTGTATCAAAGCATCTCGTTTAACATTTATAATTCACTTTTTATCGCATCGCTGTTTTTGTTGTTGTTATTGCTGCTGTTGTTGTTCGATAATCTTCGCAAACGCATTTGTTCTTTAACAAATAATTTATGTCGTTTCACAAATTCGATTTGCTTAAAATGTAATAGTAACATTGTTGACAATAATAAATGTATCATAAATTTATCAATAAATGTGATTAATGAACAAATAAAGTTTTTCTTTTTGCAAATTAATTCTTCGTTTTCAAAGACTTAATTTGTAAACTTGTTTTTGTTACTACCATACCTGTTACCTAAATCAGTTCAACATCTATTCCAGTTCCCTTCCAAACTGATGATATGACAATGATAAGAATGACGACAATATTGTTCGACAACCTGTACAGCAATTTCTCGAAATTCTTCCTTATCGAAACGGTAGTTGGCAAACTTTTTGTGGATAGTTTCAGATGCCTTCTGGATGTGAATAATGACACCATCATCATTAACTAACTGCATTTTATTCGGATTACGCCAAGTAAAGTATTTGATTCCGCGTAGACGAGCCAAGTCAAAATAGCAAGTTGCGTCGTCACAATTGTATCTGCAATATCGAGTTTTGTGATTGAGTTTGCTGGAAAAGAGTGATCGACACATTGGAAATGAATCGATAGTTTTTAGCCATCTGATTTGATAAAGAAAAATGAGCGAATTTGGAGTTATACTAACAAACATTCAAGATATAGTGACTCAATCATTCATCCACGTAAATTTACCTACATTTCGAAAACAACCGCCCATTTCGGTAAGAACAATAAGTGAGTTAAACCACTGCCATGCATACCCATCAAAATATCCGTATTATGCGTTATTCGTAGTTGTTCCAAGAATGGCACTTTACTGTAACTTATCATTATTATTACCCTTACTATCCTCTATTTGTTGTTAGTAATAATGTTACTATGGTTGTCATTATCACGGTATTATTGCAGCAGCTGAACAGAAAATGTAGTATTGAAGTTGTATACTCGTTATAGTCGACTCTTCGCACGATAACGTTCGGCATTTGTTCCAGTTCATTGATCAACTGAAAAGAAATCGATCATTATGTAAATAAAACTTCACCAGAATCCTGCAAAAGTCTCGTTATTACTACTGATAAAATTTGATACTGGACTCGATACGCAGCTTGATAGACAATTTGATACATTTATTACTACTGATATTTTAAAGTATTTAGATCTATTCAGAAACGAATACAATACTCATCCTTATTGCATGTTGCTGTTGACGAACGTGCAATGTATTGCAATAAACAGATGAACCAAATCGTAGTTTCCTGGCTCAAGCTGGATAGCATTAGTGATGATGGCACATTACATCATTCGGTTTCCAGCAAAACTTTCATCCGCCTTCTCACTCGCGGCACAAAGTTTTAGTTGAGACCGAATGAAGGTCTACCGTTATTATTGCAAAAAACGGCACTAATGCAGTAAGCAACAGGTCATCGAATATTTGCACGTTTATAATAAAAGATTTAGAGATAGTTCAATGCTAAACGAATCAACTAAACTGATTGCTATGTAAGATCATACAACAAAAGCGATTTAATAAGAGTTGGATGCTCTCTCTCTTAGAAATTGATACCAAAAGAGAAAATGATTATTAAAGAGGCGAGCGACATCTCAATATTTCGTACACATCGGTTTCATCTGTCAATGGCTTAGGATTAAGGTTTGACTACGAAATGGATAGCAACTAGATCAACAGAGATTTAGCCTCAACAATCATTGCTCCAAGTTGAAGACTTAGATTAAGACCTAGCACATTTGGAAAGAGAGAGTGAACACTACAAAATGAGTTATTGTTAAATGAGTTTGGATTAAGGTATTGGAATAAGAGATAAGAGATGATGGTCTGAGAAAGATAAGAAAAAGCTATGGATTATGTGAATTAGATAAAAGAGCAAAGAAGAGGATGAAGGAGGTAGGTACAATACTTGCTTGGTTACCCATTACATTTTATGCTTAGGCTTGCTTCTGGCTTTTGGCAATGGCTACTGCTACTGGTGCTGCTGATGGTGGTGGTGCAATCAAATGCAAATGATAGCGCCATCGATTTGTGCATCATTTAATTTGTGCTGACTTTATAATTTAAGTCGTTTTAGACTTAGATTTAGAAAGAAAGTGTGTGTCTGTTATTACTGGCTAGATAGGAGATGAACTGAACTTTCTTCAGAGGTGATTCATCGTCCATGTACCACTATTAGGACGTGGAAAACTTTTAAATCTTTCTTCGTTGATTCTTT